TCTCCGTGCATCCATTCACTCATTCGCCCATGGTCCATTCATTCATTCATTCATCGGTTATTGATCGCTATTGGTTTTTGTTGATTAGAAGTTTTGGTCATTCGTTCATTTTTTCATTCACTCGTTCATTCATTCGTTGGTTTGGCTGGTTGGGTGGAGGGTTAGTAAAAATAATAAAGTGGCCTATACACTCCCTCATCTCATCAAAATCTCTCTCCTCTTTCGCATATTTCTCTATCTCTCTTTTATTCTTCCTTCTTTCTCTCTCTTTATATTTTTTTTTCTCTTTGTTCCTTCATCTATCTTTTGCACTCTCTCTCTCTCTCTCTCTCTCTCTCTCTCTCTCTCTCTCAATTTCTGTCACACTTTTTAAATTTTTAATCAATATCATCTACATACAAGGTACTAATTTGATACTAATTTATAATAAAAATTAGCCATGTAAATCTTCTCTTCCTCTCTCTCTCTCTCTCTCTCATACACACACACACAAACACGTACACACACACACAAACACGTACAAACACAACCACAAACACACAAGTTTCAAATCTTTGAAAGGCGAAATAATTGAAACACGACAACACTAAGTTATTAATTACTATTTTTATTGTTACCAATGTTATTATATTATAACCATTATTACGTTTCTACACATATATATATAATATATATATATATATATATATATATACATACATATATATGTATATATATAACCATCATCATTATCATCATCTTCACTTTCAACATTTTCAGTATAACCATCATCATCATCATCATCAGATTCACAAAAGTTTTTTCAACTGTATCATCATCATAATCGTTAGAGTCATCATCATCATCAACACAACTGAAACTATTACCACCATCATCGTTTTAGTCTCTCATATATATATATATATATATATATATATATATATATATATATATATATGTATATATATATATATATATATATATATCATTAGATAAGTTCACTTCTAGAATTAAAAAAAAATAAAGTGTAGAACAAGATATACGCGAATTAGTGTTTAAATTAGATAAAGAAAAAATAATTACTTTACACGCAAACACACACACACACACACACACACACACACACACACACACACACACACACACTCAC